TAAGAGTGCCCTAGGGTTTCAATCAACAAATGAAGCCTTTACATACTTCTTGTCATTGACGGGCCAGCGCGCGCCACAGTAACACGCATCTGGCCGCGCGCCGGGCCACACACACACGCAACGGCCCATACAAGCATCCAACGGGCCACACAAAACACGCGGTCGCTGGGCAGGCTGCCTTGTAGGGAACTTCTACAAGAAGGGGTTTGGGCCACTGGCCTTCCCCTTGTTGCATCGAGGGCAGCGGCGACGAGGAGGACGGGCAGGATGAGGAGGACGAAGACTTGATTGTGTTCTTCCTGAAGACGAAGCTAAGAAGGACAATCTTCACACCGGTCGACCATCCAATGACAAATCAAAACATTGAAAACTAGCACATAGCAGCTGCGACACTGTACACATGTCTGACAAGAAAATACCTCCTCCAGCGCTCTTGCCACTCTACCGCCGCACCTGACACTTCCGCCGCGCTCGCCAACAGAAACGAGGCGGACGAAGCCGAGAGGACGAGGACGAGGGCGGAGGAGGCGGAGACGGGGGGCGGAGAAGGAGACCGAGGGCCCCACTCCGGCGACGCCCTCTGGCCGCGGGGGGGGGTGCGCGAGGGGCGCGCCTGGGACGCGGACAGGTGGGAGCTGATCGAGCCCCGCCTGGAGGCGTGCGCCGAGGAGGCCCTCGAGTAGCGCCTCGGGCCTGCGCCTCCGCCGGGGGGTGGTGGGGGCTCCACGCTCGAAGGAGCGAGGGAGAGAGGGACAGGGCCGAGAGAGATGGGGCGGGGGAGAAGGAGAGAGGGGGAAGGGAGAGAGGGAGACAGGGAGAGAGAGAGAGAGGCAGAGGGCGAAATGGAGAGAGGGAGACAAAGAGATGGAGAATGAGAGAGAGAGAGAGAGAAGGACAAGGAGACGGAGAGATGGGGAGAGGGCGAAGAGAAAGAGAGAGAGAGAGAGGAGAGTAGGATCAAGGGGAGAAGCGACGCTGCCACGGGCCGATATCTTCAGCGACGGGCATTGGCAACAGCATGCAAGAGTCTCGCCCCTGTCAGCTGGGTCCGACCATAGCGAGACGCACGCATGCAGTGGGAGGAGGGGGGGGCGGCTCTGGCCACCATGGAGGGGTCGAGTGGGTCCAGAGGACACGCACGCTCCATTCTTTCAAGAGGAGTTCTTTGCACACGTGGGAAAAAGAATCCAAGGAGCCCAGCGATAGAGCGCACCCAGAAACCCACATGTGATGGGAACCAGGGGAGGGGGCAGAGAGAGAGGCAATCCGGTCTCGCTCTTCCAGGCCTGCTGATGCAAACGGGCGTGCTTGATATGAACCAAACGAATACGACTAGGACGTTTATGCCGCGTGCCGGTGTAAGTCTTGAAGCCCAATCCGAAGCAAGGCCACATCGACACAGTCATGCCAGCATCAAGCAGGAAGCGCTCCCACGCACGAGCTCGGAAAAGCCCATCGCAGAGGCAGGAGTGGAGCAGGGGAACAACTGGCCATCGCTCGGACGTCCATTCCCTGTGTTTTTTGTTCGGCTTCGTGCGCGGTTTTTCTTCGCCAGATGATCAAGGATGCTCCTCGATGGTCCTCGCCAAATGAAATAATGCACACGTCCGAGCGATGCCAATCCAGAGGAGGAGACCCGGGCCATGGTTTTTGGGTGCTTCTCGCCACTCCCGGGCCTGATGTGCGGGCCCTTCGTCGCCGCGGCTCGACCAGCCTCAAACCTCTGCTCGGGACGCTCTCCATGAAAGGGGCCCTGGGACACACAAGTAAACACACACAAATAAACAGATTCTCAATATGTTCTCATATTTTCTGGGTGTCTGTATTCCCCCCCCACTTCCCATATTTTCCACATTTTCCTTGGAATCGACGATTAATTGTGTCTGTGTGTTTTCTCCCCTCCTGACTCCAGGACAATCCTTTTCATTTCTTTGCGCACGTTCAGTTCACGGCTCGATCTCGGGATTCAGAGCAGCTGGAGGGCTCTGAGCCACACAGATCGGCTCAGCAGAACATACTGGCTGACGCGCACCGCCATCGAAGGCTAGCTAGCCGTGATGGCCCAACGAACAGCACCTAGCCTCTCGGATCTGCTTCATCTCTGATGCGCAAGCACCCTCTCCAGGACCATCCTGGGGCCCGCGTCGGGGGGGAGGGGGCCCTCGGGGAGATCAATGGCTCTCGGTACTCTTAATTCGCGCACGTCGGGCGTTTGTCCCTCACCACCGCATGGGGCATCGATCTCAGAGGACCTCGGCCAGCGGCGGGCGGTGGATCCGGGGTATGTCTTAGGCGAAACACCCCGGCCTCGGCGATGGGGGTCTCATGGAACTGTGGCGCTTTGACCAGCAGCGGGACTGCGGCGCTTTGACCCGCAGCTGCGCTATTATGGGAGAGGCGCCGCAACTGTCGGGTCGGACGAAAGGATGGGATTAATCCCAAAGGGTCTTCAATAAACCCCCCGGCAATAATGGGAAAATAAATATTTTGTCCGCCGGCTCATTGACGGATTGGGACCCCGACAATAGTTGGTAGTTGGAAATTAATTATTCTCGTCGGCGGATGCATGAGAGGTCATGAGAAGTGCTCGAAAATCCCATCTCCAATGGGGGGAGGAGGAGGAGGAGGAGGAGGAGGAGGAGGAGGAGGAGGAGCGAACGAACCCCTGGGAGAGGCGCGTCTATCTATAATGGGCGCGCACCGCCGTGCGCGCTCGGGCCGAGCCTCAGGGAGAGGCGAGAGGCCTGCATGTAGTTCTTGTGGGTGCTGTACGAGTTGTCGACCTTGCCATCGATCTTGATCGAATGGTAAAACCTGTAGACCACTGCCAGACGGATGAGCACGTGGTCGATCTTGTCGTCATCGGCCCCACGCGGGTCGAAATTGATGTCGCGCAGGCCAAGCCTGGCGAGAACACATTTGTGAAGTCGTCCACGAGGCAGAGCAGCATGGTGCCACAAGCGCTTGCAGACCAGGTAGTGGCTGAAGGTGTCGGGGTGAAACTTTGGGTTGCAGCCAAGAACACAACCACGAAGGACGGGCTGAACGTGCATGCGGTATGATGTGGCCCACCCGCCCGAAAGCGTCTTCATTACAGGCCAAAAGCGCGAAGGCGGCAGCTCGGCGATCTTCGGGCGGATGCGGTTCCACGCGGTCTTCACGTTGAACGGTAACTGGATGAGAGAGGTCATGTCATTGTCGTCCGCGTACGCGTTGGTGAGGTCGTCGGTGATCATGGGGGTGGACTCCGAGTCATTGTTCTGGAAATCGGCGTCGTGAATCCAGCGGCGCCGAGCGTGGTGTTCATTAGCTGCACGTTCGAACCTCAGCTGTACTTCGGCGGTGCGGGGGGCATTGAACGCAGCGGAGGTCTGGAGTCTTGATGCCGCAGTTGACTGCCATGCCTGCGTGCAAATACGTTCGGCACGCCGACGGAGCTGGGCATCAGTTTGGCCACGCAATAGGACTTGAAGACCGTCACGACGGAGATGACGAAGAATAAAGGTTTCGCACCATTCATGCCAATCGTCGACGTCCCATTCATGCGGTGGAAGAGCGAGGTAAATCGAGGGGAGCCAGTCGGAGGCCCAGTGCTGCAGGCATTCGGCGATGGTCTCGAGCTCGTTGGCTGCGTTGCGCATGTCGTGGTCATCATCATCAGGCGTATTGGGAACTTGTAGATGAAGTGGTGGAAATCGTTGGAGGTGTCCTGGGTCGGAATTGGCAGTAGATGGCGCCGACGGGAGGGTGGGGAACCAGGCCCGAAGGCGGGCGGCGATGGTGGCGTCGAAGGAATCTTCGTAGAGCGAGCGCTGCAGTGTAATCATGTAAGTGGTCTGTTGCGATTTCTTGGGAGGATCATCATCAGCACGGCGAAGTTTGTCCAAGACACGGAGAGCAGCAGCACGGGCGAGTTCATGAGCTTGGCGCAGTTGACGGTGAGCCAGATGATCGTGATGGCGGCTGCGCTGGGTGATCTTGAAGATGGTGCCCTTGTGGGTGGAGTAGCTGTCGCCGAACTTAGCTGCCCGCAGGTGCTGCGCGATCGAAGTAGCGGAGGCCCAGCACGGCGCGGTCCAAAGTCCCTGGGCAACTCGGACGAGCGGAATCTGATCGAGTGCAGCTTGATGGTGAAGTTCGAGAAGCTGGGGCCAGGCGTTGATGGTGGAAGTGGCAGAGCGCCACAGCGTGGCCGCAAGCAAGACCTCGACACCAGTGGGGATGGCGCAGCCCGCCCAGTTCGTCATGCCGAGGATGTCGAGCTTGGTGAATGCTGAAGGAGCAGATCTGATAACTCTATTAAGGGCATGAATTTCTTTGGAAAGAACGAGTTCTGGAGCAGGAAACAATTGTCCGACGTAGGTGAGGCAGGTGATCGCGGAAGTGTTGTGCAGCGAAACGTTCAACTGAATGGCCGCGGAGGCGTCGCCCAAAATCTGGGCACGGTGGTACCACTTGGCCGCAGGGGCGGCCCATTGAGCACGATCATCAGCACATGGACCGATGTAGGCTCCGAGGTACTTGGCTTTGCCGTCGATTTTGAACTGGGCCCAGGCGGGGTTGATCTCCCTGAGCGTGTCACGCATGGTGTTGCCAACGTCTTCGAAGCAGTTGGTCCATGCTGGGACAAGCGCGCACTTCCGAGGTTGGAGCAACAGTCCTGCGAAAGATAGGGCCGCCTCGCTATGCGGTAGGATGCCTTGCATGTCACGCAAGTGAGCTAAGACGCAACCAATGTCATCGGCACAAGCACTGGCCATGCCACGGCCTATCTGAAGAAAGTGGCGTTGGATTCCACAAAGGATGGGGTCGAACACCAGGGCCCAGATGGTGCCGCTGAGCGGGCAGCCCTGAGCTACTCCGCTGGCTGCAACGAGTAGTGGTTGACGTGTGCCTCCCAGCTCCAGGAAGGCGATGGGCGAGGCGTAGAAGGACTGGAGGAGGCGACGGGCGCGGCCAGCAATCCCCCATCTGCGAATCACTTCCCATAACCAATCGTGAAGCAAGCTCGGGAAGGCGGCGGCGATGTCCATGCTGAGGAAGCACGGCATGTGTTCGATGGCGTTGTCCATAGTGCTGTAGATGCGGCTGTACGTGTCGGCTTCGACTATGTTGTTGAGGAATTGGCGGCCAGGTACGAAACCTCGTTGGATACTTGACACTTGCTTGACAATCGGATGTAGCTTGCGGTTCATGGCGGAAGCGGCAATCTTTACGTCGGTGTTCTCCATCGCGAGGGGGCGGAGTTGGTCTGGAGACCGATAGCATTCAGCATGCCCAGCAGGCGCATCACCTTTTGGTAGCATGGCTAGTAGAGCGTGGTTCCAATCGTGCGGGATGATGTTGTTGGCCGAGATGTTAGTCACGAGCTCTTCCAGGATCTCGAAGCTGTTGGGAGTGGAAGTCCATGCTTTGTAGGGAAGGCCATCTGGACCTGCGGCGGAGTCATGCGCTCGTTCTGCTGCTTCTTGAAGCTCTTCAGCGTTGGGGAGTTCCAGCGCAACCAGTTCACGCTGAGGAAAGACAGAGTCCAGGTAGGCATTCATGTTGGCAGTGTTTACTGGCTTGTCTGCGAATATCGGGCCCCAGTGCGCAAGAATGGCGTCGTGCATGTCCGACGGTGTCTTGGCGATGACGGCTGAGTCGCCTTGCCGAAATCGGATGCCAGCGAGCGCCGGCCGCTTGGAGAAGGGCTTCCAAAGCTCTCCCAGTCTGCGAGTGGCACAGGCTCGTTTCCGCCACCTGTCCCCCTGTTGACGCTGTAGACGTTGGTACGCATCGCGGGCACGTGCGGCAGCGAGGGCGCGACGTTCTTCAGCGACATCAGCATGAACTTCAGCAGCGGCATCAGCGAAGGCGTTGTTGTTGCTAAGGCAAGCCTTGCTCGCGGGGATGTCAGTAGAGCTGTCGGCGATGATCTGCAAGTGCTTGGAGCCCAGATGGGTGGTGTCGATAAGGGGGCGCACAAGCTTGATGTCCTGGAACCAGACAGCGCGGGAGATGCTTCTCACGGTCATCGAGTTGACTTCCTCGGAGATCGAGAGATGGTCTCGTGCAAGGACTTCAGGCGGTAGCCGCGCAAGAGCATCTCGCGTGGCCTTCGCAGCGTTCGTCACGTTGGCTTTCAGCGTGCGCCACTTGGTGATGGGCGTGAGCGAGTCGTTCTCGGTGTCGGCGGAGAGCTTGTCAATGAAGAACTTGTAGAAATCGGAGTTGAAGAGGTAGGCAGGGATGCCTCGTTCAGCATGGGGTCGTTGAGCTCGGGGGCGAAATCGGACATGAAGGAGTTTATGGTCACTGGCAGGTGTTCCTTTCCGTTCAAGTGGCGGGTCGTCGGCCGCCATGATCGTCTCGATGTGGGTGAGATTATGTGCCTGGAAGGATGTGAAGAAGCGGTCAATGCTAGACTCAGTGTTGTTCGCGTAGCAGCGGTGGGTGGTGGATGGCGTGCAGATCTCGACCCGCGGTCGGAAGAGCTGCTTCCAGAAGGTGGGCTGGAACTGGTATCGTTCGTGAGCGGGCACTTCGACAGGACGTAGTAGGCTGCGGGCAGGTAGTTCAGAGATATTGAAGTCGCCGAGCATGAAGAACATAACGTGTTCAGGGTCGCTACTTGCTTCATTCAGTGCCACTTGCCACGTGGCCTTGATCCGTTTTCGGTCGTCAGCAGAGAGATCATGGTTATGAATGTTGAGGTATATATGGAGGTACTTCAGGCTGGGGTCGCGGATTCGCAGTTCGGCGACTCGGCCAGGGATGGCCGCAGAGAAGTTGATCAGCGGCTTGGTGTTGTCCTGGTCGCCGAAGGGGATGAACTTCGGGATGGGGAAGGCGACGCCGCCCGCCGCATTGGAGTCGGGGATGCCGCTGTGGTAGACGTCGTACTTTGCGCCCGTGGAGTTGATGAGGCTGTGAATCATCTGCGAGGTGCCGTGAGTCTCCTGAATGGCAATGAGTGAGCGCTTGGCGAGGTAGGGCATAAGGATGGAGAGGTTGGCGTCGCGCTTGACGACGTTCGAGTGCACCAGGGCCTGAGCGTTCCAGCTGACCACCGAGCACTCAATCAGAGATGACGTGGTAGTCGCGTTCCATGGAGTCCATTTGCTGTTAAATCCACGACACTGATGTGGTCGCATCCGCGAAGGCAGCGGCAAGGGCGTCAGCGCACGAAGACCGCATCGCAGATGTAAGGCCGACACCCTCAGCTGCATCTGACCATTGAATCTTGGTCGCCATCTCGGGTCGGGAGCCCACCTGGATGCGGACGATGGGCACTTTGTCGATGGAGAGGTAGCCGTCGGTGCGGTGGATCTCGGGGTTGAGGTCCTGCTTGGCGTTGTTGATGATCCTTGCCAGCTTCTTGAGCTGAATCTCCTGCCTGATGATCTTGGGGCTCTTGTCAGCGCTGACGTAGCATGGGGCGCCGCCGATCGTGAAGGTACGCCATTCCCGCCCAATACGGAGGTGGTGGTGAAGAGCTTGAGCACGTGGTGCGGCGACGGCATCGGCTCCGAGTACAGTGATGGAGACCCGCTTGGCAGGGGCGGAGTTGTTGTAGCGAACCATAGATACATCGATGCTGGCAGCCGAAAACCACTCGGCGATGGCCGATTTGAGAGATGCTTGTGTGATGTCCACGGTGGAGGCGATCCAAAAGGTGCCGATGTGTGGGGCCCTGTCCCACGAGCCGATGTTGCTGACGTCGAGCGAGGGAACTTGGGCTTCTGCATGCGCGATGGCAGTCTTGATCTTGTCCACCGCGTCGTTGAGGTTCTTGGACTCCACTTCGGAGGCGGAAACGCGCTGCTTGAGGGAGACGATGTCGTTCTCGACGTGGTCCTGGCGTTCGGTGAGCTTGGCCGTGATGTTAGTGATGTGAGTGATGAAACTGGCTTGAGACGAGGCGGCGACTTTCTCTGCGGTGGCCTTGAACTGTTCAGCCGCATCAGCAACTTGAATGGCCAGGTGTTTCTCGATCTCAGCGCGGAATAGTTCAAGTCTTTCCTTATGTGCAGCATCTTGCCATGGATCTTTGTTACTCCGAGGGCTACGTTCGCGTCGATCATGAATGGTGGCAAGGTCACATGTCTCGGGCATGCTGAGGGCTCGCTGCAGACCGCTGGGTCTGGATACTCGACCGTCAATATGGAAGTGGCCGCGGCACCACAGTCAAACAACCCCGCGTGGATATGTAAGGAGAGCAGATAAAAGACACTCCTGAGCTGGCCCTGGAACAAGAGTATGCCATGAAAGCCTCTTGGCGCTATGCCAAGCAACATTGGAACCTTGAGCCAAAATGGCTACGGAGGAGGAGGAGGAGGAGGAGGAGGAGGAGGGGAAGGAGGACGAAGGGGAAGGAGGAGGGAGGGGAAGGAGGAGGAGGAGGGACGAGTTTCTCTTCCCCGCCGAGAGCTTAGGGAGGGGGGGGTGCATCATTCAAGACCCTCTGCGGTCAGTGCAGGCGGGATCGGCGCATCGGCTCATGTATAGCTGCTCCTCCCAGCGCCTCCCGGCGCCGGAGGCGCCACTGTATCGACGAAGGCGCCCGGCGGAGGGGCCGAAACTGAAGGGGCCCCAGGACACACAAACAAATACACACAAATAAACATATCCACATTTTTTCGAATATTCTCTGGGCTATTGTCTTCCCCCCCACTTCCCATATTTTCCCATATTTTCTGGGGAATCGACGATGAATTGTGTCTGTGTGTTTTCTTACCTCCTGAGAAACCAGCTGCGCGCAGCAGGTTTCGTACCCCGCCGCTCCCGGTCCCCCTGGGTCTCGTCCGACCCGAAGAGCAGGGAACGACAGCGAGGAAACGCCGCACGCTGACGTGCGACGTCTCGAGCTGCTCGGTGCGGGGTCCCTGGCAGTCCCGACCCCTTCCCCGGGGCCGGTCTCTCATCCAGATCCGTTCTCTCACGGTCTCGGGGCCCGGCGAGGGCCCCTTATAGAGGCCGAACACTGCCAGAAGACGCCCGCCGTGATTGTCGCCCCCGGTTCGTCCCGTCCGAACCTGGGAGGAGGAGGAGGAGGAGGAGGAGGAGGAGGAGGAGGAGGAGGAGGAGGAGGAGGAGGAGGAGGTTGAGGAGGAGGAGGAGGAGGCCCGGCAGTACCGCGGGGACGACGACGCTCGAGACGACTCGGGCACGCCTGGAGCGCTCCCGGCGAGCCGCAGCTGCTGAGAGGCGCCCCGAGGCTGGGACACGGCCGAGAGCCGATGGAAACGCCTCGGGGCTCGAAGCTCGAACCTCCCCCCCTGCGCCTGCGTGGTCCCTCTAGTGTTGCCCCCTGGGCCCGCGTCGTCCCGACAGGCGCTGCCCCCATCGCGCCCTCCTACTGGCCATCGCTCGGACGTCCATTCCCTGTGTTTTTTTCGGTTTCGTGCGTGGTTTTTTCGCCACATGATCAAGGATGCCCCTCAATGGTCCTCGCCGGAGGAAACATGCACTCGTCCGAGCGATGCCAGGTCCTAGGCGACTCCGAAGGGCGTGGTTTAAAGAGGAGGTGGTTTGCAGCCCGCGCCTGAAGGGCGGGCGAGGGCCTCTCGCCAGAGATCTCCGCCGCGCCCCGACGAGGGCGCACCAGACCGCTGGCGCAGTGCGGTGGCCCCTGGGTTCCAACGGCGGCGCCGATCGCAGACCACACCCTGGCGTGTATATACATATATCTATACACACACATATATACTTGTAGATAATATCTGGGCGACCCAAAAGGGGGTCCAGCTGCAAGGGGGTGGTGCAGTAGATGTGGGGCCATTGGATTGCAAGCGTACTGCGCTGGAGAATTGCATTGCATTGTGTTGCAACTACTGCATTGCACGCGAAAACCCAACAATACGTTTGCGCCCCGGAATGTTGTATTGCACGCCCCAAATGTATTGCAACCCCACAAATCTATTGCACCACATCTATTGCACCACACCCTTGTCGCTGGACCCCCTTGTTGGGTCAATCCGAATATAACAACACCAGTTGCAGTCGCCGCCCTGCGGCCGCCACCCCCAAACATTTCGGACACCAGCGGCTTTCGGGCAGCCGAGGCGAGTCTGAAGGGGGCCCTGGGACACACACATAAATAAACACAAATAATAATAGGATTCTCCGTATTTTCATATATTTTCTGGGTTTCTGCCTCCCCCCCCACTTCCCATATTTTCCGATGTTCTCGGGGGAATCGACGATTAATGTTGTGTCTGTGTGCGTGTGCCCTTCCCTCCTGCAGCACTTCGGACACCAGCGGCTTGCGGGCAGCCGCGGCGAGTCGCAGGCTCGCGCCTGCGACGCCCAGCTGAGCGCTCATGCGCCTCGGCTCGCTGGCGTCCGGCGGCCGCTGCGCCGCGTCGGCGCTGGGGCTCACGCGCAAGGTCGTCTGGCGGCCCTGCTCGGGGAGGCGCCACAGAGTTTGACGGGGGGGGGGAGGGCGAGGAGGGCGAGGAGGGCGAGAAGAGGCAGAAGGGGCAGGAGGGGAGGGGAGGCAGAAGCGGCAGGTGAGGGAAAGGGGAAGCGGGAAGAGGGGGGGAGAGAGAGAGAGAGAGAGAGAGAGAGAAAGAGAACAACTATATATATAGATATAGAGAGAGAGAGAAGCAGAGAGAAAGACGAGAGACGCGAGAGAGAGAGAGAGAGCGAGAGAGAGAGAGAGAAAGAGAGATGAGAAAGAAGGGAGGAGGATTAAGGAGGCTGGACAAGGGAGAAGGAAAGGGGAATACGGGGGAAGGGGAGACGGAATGGGGGAGAAGGATATGGAAGGATATTACAGTGATAATGGGGACGAGGAGGGAGGAGAAGGGAGGGAGGGAGCAGGGAACAAGAATGAGGGAGCAGGGAGAAGAGGGCGAAGGGAGGATCCGGGAGGGGAGAGAGCATAGATTATGAAGGGGATGGAAGACACCACCGTTCAGAAATTGACAGAAACTCGCTCCGTGCTCCTTCTCCGCGCTCCTCTCGGCCCCAAGACGTCCCAAGCTTGCCACACGACCGCTGCGAAATGCCCTCAGGCCCACCTTCGCGGGACGGCCCGAGCACACCCGGAGGCCCCCAGGAGGCCCCCAAGCGGCCCCCGGCGCGACGGTCCTCAACAGGTCTGGAGCCGCCCAGCAGGGGCCAAAAGCGTTCCCGAAAGTTGGCGCCAAGGGGACCTCGAGGAGCCATCTGTAAAACGACGCGAAGATCGGGACAAAATCGGATCGGGATAACTCGAAATCTCTGAGAATCGGCGGGTTTGGAGGATGTACTGGGCGCCGCGTCCGCTCCAGAGCGTTCCGGAACGCTCTGAGAGCGCCCCGGAACGCTCTGGAGCGATTTATCCCGATCCTAGCCCTGTTTTAATCTAGCAGGAGCCCAGTGGCCCAAAACGCGTTCCCGACCCCCAAGGGGTCCTCGAGGTGCTGCCCAGCAGAAGGGGCCCTGGGGTGCCAAGAGCGTTCCCGAGGGTGGGCTCCAAGAGGCGTGCCCGACGATGAGCTCCAAGGGGCCCTCGCGGGGCCGTCCAGCAGGGGCCCCGCGGGGCCAAAGAGCGCTCCCGCAGATGGATGGGCCCCAAGAAGGAGCCTCGAGGAGCCGCCCGGCAGGAGCCCACGTGGGGCCAGGAGCGCTCCATCAGAACACTTTTGAGCTGCGGGGCGAGAGCGAACCTCTTCCGCTAAAAGCTGCGCTGCATCAGAACACGCGGGCTATACGCCTGCTGGATCGAGAGCCGGGCGGGCCCGTCCCGGACCACCCGCGTCCTGCAGGAAGGCCAGGCCCGCCGCCGGGTTCCCCATGGCAGCCGCCTCGCGCCGGGGGGCGGGGGGCGGCGAGGGCCGCCGGATCCGTGCCGACACGATCTGCGCGCGGGCTGCCGCATCCCTGGCCGGACGGTTGGGGCTGCCCCCGCGTGGGCCTCGAAAGACAGGCTTTGCACTGCGCTTCCACCTCCCGTCGCGCACTGCGCGTTCCCTGCCCGTCGTCCTTCCCCTGCTCCTCGTGCTCGACATCCTCCTCCTGCTCAACATCCTCCTCTCGACTTCCTCCTTCTCGTCCTCCTCTGCCTCCTCCCCTCCCCTTCTCCACGCGCGTGCCTCCCCTCTGCCTCCACCCGCCCCTCCTGCGCATAACCCCCCCCCCCCCCTCCTCTCCAGCTCCTCCAGCTCCTCCAGCTCCTCCAGCTCCTCCAGCTCCTCCAGCTCCTCCTCCTCCTCCTCCTCCTCCTCCTCCTCCTCCTCCTCCTCCTCCTCCTCCTCCTCCTCCTCCAAGGGGGCCACGTTTGAGCGGGGATCCCCTCCGACAACACGCACCCGCAGCCCCTCCGGGAAGACCACCCCGACAGATCTGGGGGTCGGACAGCTGAGGGCCGAGGAGGCAGCCCCAGAGCGCCCCTGCGGCCCCCCGCCCAGAGCCCCACCAGCGCGATCTCGCACTCCCGAGAGGCGTCGTGCCCCGGCCTCCGCAGGCCGCCGCAGGCGCCTCTCCTCCCTCGCCGAATGCAGCGGTCGCGGGCAGCCGCGCGTGACGAGGGGAGCTCCGAGGGCGGCGAGTCGCCGACGGAGGCGCGAGGGGGCAGGAGGGGAGGACAGAGGAGGAGAGGCGAGAGGAGGAGAGGAGGGGAGGAGGGGAGGACAGAGGAGGACAGAGGAGGAGAGGAGGTGCGGCGGGCCAGGGGGGGAAGGCGACGAAGGATCCCGAACGATGGGCGGGAGACAGCGGCAGAGCGCCGGGGTCGACGCAGCGGCAGCAGCGAATGCGGCGGTCTCGCTTGTCGGGAGGTGCGAATGCGAACGCCCAGCCCAACCTCCGTGACCCACCGCAGATCTGATACTCTCATGGACGAGCTGCTCTTGCGAGCCACGCGAGAATGGTTCGAACGACGAGGAGGAGGGAAGCCCTCCGTATCCCAAATTGGTCCGGAGTGTTCTGCCCAGGCCCAGCGGGCGCCGCTCTGAACGAGGCGAGCCTTCCCCCCCCCCCCGCGCCCCTTGGCGCCGGACGTGCTTCCCATCTCGGCAACAACGCGGCCGAACACCCCGCACGCCGAGGTGGACCTCGCGCGCTCTCGCCCCAGATGCTCACGATGTTCAGGGGGCTGGATGGGCGCGACGCGGAGGGAATCTGGTTCACCCAAAAGGGGGTCCAGCTAAAAGGGGGTGGTGCAATAGATTTAGGGCAATTGGATTGCAAATGTGTTGCGCCAGAGAACTGTAGCGCATCGTATTGCAACGAATGTATTGCACGCGAAAACCCAGCAATACATTTGCGCCGCGGAATGTATTGCACGCCCCAATTGTATTGCAACCCCACGCATCTATTGCAACAAATCTATTACACCACCCCCTTGTCGCTGGACCCCCTTTTGGGTCAACCCGAAGGAAGAGGCCAGGAAATAGGATGGGTAGGGGGAACAGAGGCAGCGGGGGGAACGAGGCAGCGGAGGCACGACTCGGGCAGGGGCGGGTGCGGCCAGGAGGCAGGGAGGGACAGCAGTGGGACCCCTTGGCGCAGGGAGCCACCGCGGCGCCTGGCGCAGCACGTAGCCCGCAAGCCGGTCCAGGCGGCGCTCCATGCGCATCTCCAGCGCGTCCAGGCGCCTCACGAGCACCTCCTCGACGCGATCGCGGCCGCCCAGCGTCGGCGCCTCGCGGGCACGCCCAGAGGATTCGCGCAGAGCACCGGCGCAGCACCCACAGACGAGCTCCAGAGCGGGACCAGAGCGTGCGAGACCCTGGACCGGGGCGTTACAGCACTAAGTCAAAACAGATGCCCAGGCCCAAAAACGCGGGGGCCAAGACAAAGTGCAGGCTCCTCGGGACTTCGGGGAGGGAGATTTTGGGGCAGGGTTTTACCAGGGCGACGACGACGAGCGCAAAACATACCCCGAAATCTTTGGCCGATCTTCGAATCCTCGGTGAATCCGCGATTTTGGGATTGGGGATCTGTTTTTTCGTGGCCATGACAATTCTTTACGCGCCAAGCGTGTTCGCCAATTCTCGGGCCCGAGGGCCATCACGTGCCGATCCGGCGCGAGGAGTCGCCGCAGAAAGAAATGCAACCCCGGACTCTGGTCGTCCCCTGATGGTCCGCTACCGAAAATTTCCGGTAGCGCTCCGCAGAGATCGGTCGCTACCGAAATACCGAAATGTAGCGCCCAATACCGGTATCAGAGCGTTCTGAAATCCGCCATTTCAACGCCCTCAAACGAAGATCCGGTCGCTACCGAAGTTCGGGGTGCGTCGAAATCGCTACCGAAAATTTCCGGTACCAGACCATCTGGGTCCCCCTCTTTTCCGCCCCCGACCCGCGGCGAGCACTGGCGTCGGCGCCGGAGCAAAACTGCGGCCCAGCGGCCGGCGGGGGGGCACGAGCGGAGTCGTGGGCCCCGGTGGGCCCTCGCGGCTGCCCCCGTGCGGCGGGGCGGCGTGCGGCCCCGCGGTGTCGTGGCCCCCGCGGCCGCCTCGCGGCCGCCTCGCGAGTGCTCGGCGGGGCGCGCAGGGGCGGATCGCACTCTGCGCGTGGCTCTCGTGGCCTCCACTCGCGGCCGCGCCTCGTGCGGGGGGGGGTCTGTGGGGAAAAAACACACTGTGGGAAAAACACACACAAAAAACACACACACACACACTGTGGGAAAACACACACACACACACACACTGTGGGTGTTTTTTTCCCACAGTGTGTGTGTGTGTGTGTGTGTTTTCCCACTGTGTGTGTGCTTTTCCCACGGTGTGTGTTTTTTTTCTTCCCACAGTGTGTTTTTTCCCACGGGGCTGCGCAGGAGTCGGGGCTGCGGGCTCCCCACGCCTGGCCCTGGCCACGAGAGGAGCGGCCGCGCGGCCGCGAGAGGCCGGACGCCGTGTTCTTGTTGGCCGCCTCGGGGTGCGAGGCGCTGCCGCTCTCGGCTCTGTGGCTCGCTGCCCGTGGAGGCCTCCGATGACTGGGGTCCGGATACATGGGGCCGGAGGCTCGCGCCGCACCGCCGATGCATCGGCGACGTCGGCGTGGAGAAGGTCGGGCTCCACGCCGAGCCGCATCGCCAAGGCATCGGCGATGCGGCGCGAGCCTCCGACCGCGTGAACTCAAGCCCCATCCGGGAGTTACCCGCCTGGAACGTATCCCTATCCCTATGCTGGGCATCTCCTCGTCACGATGCCAATCTTAGGGACTCCCATATTTTTGGGGGGCGCATCGCTAAGACTGTCATCGCCTTTTGGCGTGTCAATCTTAGGGCTAGGGATACGTTCGAGGCTGGTAAGGGAGGCCTTGCGCGAGCGGGTGGAGCGCAGAGCTCGCCTCGCCGGCTCCTGGCTCGTGCCCTGCGGCTCTCCGTGCCCGTGGCCGCTTGTGGGGGGGGGGGGGGGCGGCTCGTGGTCCAGACCGCACGTCGTCGCCTCCTCCCCCGGGGGCTGGGCGCATCAAGCGTGCGTAGGATCGTCGCGCCCGCAGGTCGCGATGCGTGGTCAGGCGGCGCGCCTGGGGGGGAAGTGAGAGGGGGCGGGCCTTCTCAGGAGGCTCAGGAGTCCCCCAGCCTGCTGAGAAGTTTGCCAAGCCTTCCCCGAAGACAGACAAAAACTTCTCAGAAGGCGCGAGGGCCTCTGAGAAGTCCCGCCGCCTTCTGAGAAGGCCTTCTCCTTCTCACTTCCCCCCCTCGCTCGCCGCCGAGTGGTGCCAGGTGTCACGAGACCTGTGGCTGGTAGCCAGGTGTGTGTGTGCGTGAGGGCCAACGAGAAAAATCGGTGGCTCGCGACCCGTGGCAATCGTGACGCCAGGCGTCTGGGCTTTGGGTCGAGTCTCGTGCGATAAGACAAAGAGGCTACGCGGGTCGTCCCCCTCCCTGCGCCAGGGGCCCTTCGGATCAAATCGCCTACAATGCAGCATCGAACGATCACCGTCGACGATGGGACCAGAGGCAGAGCGGAGAGATGCAGTATGCACCGGGGGGGAGACCGATCCTCTTGAACCCCACCACTTCGATTGTATCATTGGGATGAAGCTGCTTGCTTCTTGATGGGTCTTCAGAGTCGGCGCAGCGGGTGGCCTCCCGCTGCCCTCTGAGCCGTCTCTTGTGCTTGCCGAGGGGTCTGGCGCATTCAGCAGGTTCTTCGCGATCAGACGGTCGTCTCTGCTGTCACGACCCCTTCATACACACGCTCAGTGTATTTATTGATCGTCGCCTTCGATACCAAGCAATGTCGGGGCGAGCGGAGAAGTACGAACGGGGTCAGCAGTTCAACTTCTCATGGCAATGCTCGGCAGTGTTACCGACTGAAAAGGCTGATATCATGCTGGAAATTCCATGAACCCCAGAAAGTTCCACGGAATTCGGAGACCAGCACAAGAAAACCAGTGCATCGCAGATGCGCTGCCGAACAGCAAGTACACGTGGGTGCCTACGAGTGTTTCTGTGTGGCTAAGCTTTGAGTCCTAGCTACACTGAGCTATGATGGCACCATGGCCCGACAAACTAGCAACCATGGCGTGTGTGATACGATGGTGAAAACACTTGCTAAGCGCGCGTGTTAAGATCTTGAGACGACCACCTAAACAATCACGTGCCCTTTCAGGTCCGAAGTACGTACCTCGCTGCAGAGTTCCGACTGTGGGGCCGTCGCCGCACGAGAACGCCAGCAAATGCAGCGGTTACGCCATCTGCTGGACCCCCTTTGGGCACAACTAATAGACGTCATCGCTCATCGAATCGCATCGTGTCGCCCGTTGTGGTCTGGCAGGCATCTCGACAATAGACCAACGCCGATGGCTACGAGAATGGCGTGAGCGTGCCCCGGGCGCCGTGGCTGTCCTCTCTCCTTGTCTCCCCTCTGGGCTCATCCCCATCCCCCCCATGAGCCTCTCTCTTTCGTCCACTCTCGACTCTCAAATCTGTCCCGTGGACCTCCCTCGCCTCCCACCCATGAACCTCTCTCGCCTCTGTCCTATTCCATTTGCGATTTCGCGACCCCCTTACTTCCCATGAAATCAAAACCCTCCTCACATATCAACTGTGATGTTTTGCCCAGTGCGCCAAAGGCATACGAAAATCTCCGGTAACACACTTCGATTGTTCGCGCGCGCGGCGGCTCCTGGGGTCCCAGTGCGAAACGTACTCTGGGCTGTCCCCAGGCAGGTCCCGGGCTCTCGGTGGCACGGATGCCCGAATTCCAGGGGCGGTCTTCAGGGCCACCAGAGCGCCCCAGGAGCGCCCCCAGGGATCCCAATAGAGCTCCAAGATGGCATCCGAGTCGGGATCCATGGGTGGCAGGTTCCACGATGGCCTTAATGCACTGCCAAACAGATTCAAGATAGCCTCGAAATGGTCAAATACAACTCCAAGGGGCCCCCAAGAGGCCAACCATAGCAGATTGTGCTTTACCTTTTGAAGGATTTTGGCACTACGTCTGCCGACCGCCCAAGACGGCCCATTCAGCCCCCTAGACTGCCAGAGTTCAAGGACTGCCACGAGACGGCCCAGGAGGGCCCCAAGGAGGCCCCAGAGGCCTCCCGAAAAGCCTCGAACCCCCCCAAGAAGGTCCTAAGAGGGGGAACCCAAACCGAAACTTCTAAGCCTTTCCCGACCAATGACTCCCGCAACTCGTACTATTCAGATGTTTGTTTCAATTTTGTTGTCCGCGTTTGCATGCCCACACTGCTGCCCATTTCGTCATCTAGGATCGGGGTTCGCCGATTGATCTCCCGTCGCGGAAACAAAACTCGAGTGGGAAATTTTGCCCGATGAAGCTGTGCGGGCAAGGGGTGTACCCTTGGACCCGTGAGGGTACTGACCTGTTCCACAATTGTCTAACGACTTCAGCCTCCCGGGTGACGGTTTCGCAGTTGGGCCAGAATGGCTACGGTCCCTCCTCCTGCTCCTCCTCCTCCTCCTTCTGCTCCTCCTGCTCCTCCTCTTCCTCGTGCTCCTCCTCCTCCTCCTCCTCCTCCTCCTCCTCCTCCTCCTCCTCCTCCGCGTCCCGCCCAACGAGCCCGCGCCACCCTCCCGATGCGGCCGACGCCTGCGCGCTCCCCAGGCTCCAGCTGTGCGCGGGCAGCGCGGCACCGCCGGCGCCGCCGCCGGAGCGGGCCGCGCCGGCCTGCCGGGGCGATGCGGGCGGGGCGAGGCGCGCCAGGAACACCGGCGCAGCCAGCTGGCGGCGCTCTCCTCCGCCTCCTCGGATCCCTCCTCGTCCTCCTCCGCGACCTTGTTCTCCCCTCCTCCGTCTCCTCCTCCGCCTCCTCGTCCTCCTCCCTTCCTCCTCGAGGAAGTGTATGGGGTCCGAGCTTCGCGACACGCCGCATGTGTGTACTTTCAAACGCCAACAATGCGCTGACTGATCATAGCCCCAGACATGTGCGACCTGGGATAAAGTAGCCTCGCTTGCACTGAGCGCGTCGCTTGATCGGCAAAAGCGAATACACATATTTAGATGTACACGTGCACACGTACACGTGAAACTAAAGAAGCAACAAGGCATTCACTCACCAGAATAATGACACGAGGGCAAGTCAGTGAAATCCGGCTGCGTGTGGAAGAGGGGATCGGAGACGCCAGTGTTTCCTACGAAGTGCGGCCCATGTGCAAATGCAGGTCGCCACGGGGCAGATTGCCTTATTTTCGCAACGCCCATCGCCTGCGAAATGCGGACGAAAAGTAACAACGCGGTTGGCCAGCTGATTCAGCAACACGAGATACCCACAATTGGGAGGCAGGGTGCCAACCACAATCAGAACATCCAGTCGCCTACTGTCCATGCTCAATGTACCTCGTTATCTATCCAATCATTTCGAACATGGACCTACCCGATCCGCTCATACGGCCATTTTTGGGAAAAACGCTGGTCACCACCATAATGGTCAATAGGTGGCGTGTACGCTTTTCCTTCGCATACCGGGCCCACATGGCATGTGGCACTCTCTCAACGAGTGCTCGCAGAGTAGACTCCGCCAACATAGGCGCAGGGTGGACCGACGGTGAAAAAAAACCAGAGACGTCAGGGGAATCAAAAAGGGTACCCTTCCCAAATATGCTCCATGAAACTCTTGTCGACAACTGTCTGCAGAGCTACCGAATCGACCCGCAACTGATGAAGCCTTCACAGCATGCCACATTGGTTCCTGCGTACAAAACTGAAGTGTGTGCATTCGCGTACTCATGGGAAACAACCAAGTAAACGAAGTTTCTTTGGACAATCTCTGTTACCCGTCATAGCGGAATCCCGAAGGCGACGGAAGGGTGGATAGGGAGACCAAAGAGCTGCGTCCAAACATTGCACGGTCATGTGGATGCCGTCGTCCCTAGCAACGTCAGATTCCTCGAACTCTACGACGCCAGAATAAATCGCCAGCGCGAGCACCTGGAGAAAGCCCGAGCAGAGAGCTAGACTGAGAAATTCGGCGTCCTCGACGCACGGGAACGCAGCAATGACGTCAGCACGATTCGCACCAACACCTAATCGAGCAGCGAGCAAAGGCCGAAACTTCTCGTGTAGGCTGCACTCGCACATAGTCAAGGCGATGGATCAGCAAACGCTGATCAAGGTCCCACCGATCGGGCATCCTCTCCTCTGATGTAAGTGGACAGACCCAAATCGGTAGAAACGCCCATCTAGAAACGCAACCAGCGAATTCTTCATCACCTCGTGGGTCAGCACTGTAGACCGCGGAGCTCTGGTCCGCGGAATGCCATCAGCGCTTACCTTTGCAGCCGCGCCGCGCTGCGCCGTCACCGTGCGAGATGACCCTGCCCGCGCAGTCTTCGACAAGAGCACATCAACTGACGAGGAAAAATGCTCACGGCGGATGGCCTCCAAAGCCTGTCCAACGTCGCACTGGTAAGAGCCGGGCTGCAGCATGGCAGCCCCGCAACAGACACAACGCCGCGGCCCAGTGCGCCCTCAATGGCAGTCCTCATAAACCAATCGATTGAAGGGCTGAACGAAACGTCGGCTCCAACACCTTTAAAGATCGCAACTCGTAGCCAATCATGTGTGCGCGAATAAGATATCGCACTGCACGCGGCAACGTGCGAAACGAACCTTTTATCGGAAAATTAGCGAAAGAAACCACTGTCCGCGTGCAGACATGTTCGAATATGCTGCACGCGTGGCGCGTGTTGCCACTACCGCAGGGGCTCGGCTGCATATCCCGTCAGCATTTTCGCCTGATGGTGGATACACGTTCCGTAAAAACGCAGGGGACGTACCGATGTTGTGAAAGCAGCGACCTCGGCATTGAACGTCGCTGAGCTGAACCTCAAGAGCGTGATCGTCGCTGACACCAACAACGTCCTATCGTTCATTTCGGCATTGGTGGAACAACCGCCGCATCAAACATCGCGTCCGGCACAGCCAGAGAACGTTCGGGTCCTTATCCTCGCACGTAATGGCGTACACCTTGTGCCAATCCTCGTTTAAGAACACATGTAAAACCAAAAACGGCATGGCCATACAAAATATTTGAACATGGAACGGTTGGAATACAGAGGTCCAAGCGGCAATGCCTGCATCGCGTGGACGGGCAAGGTCACAGTCGAAGAAGATGATAACGAAGATCGACGACACCACTACCTGCTCATAACAAACTGCGCGTCGACAAGCTCTTGCCGAAAACGTGACACCCGGAGCTTCTTAGCACACGCAGGTGTGGGAATCATGTCGAGGCCGTGGATGGCGTAATCCACATCGCGCAGCGTGTCGTCAAGTAGCGAGCCGAGGGGAACCATCTGCACGCGGCGTTGTACATTCATCAACACCGACCTCCACTTGGACCGTTCCAGGACCCGGACCAAGGTGCGCCTACGAATGAGGGCCGCCAGGCGCGGTAATTGATGAGAGACTGAAGCGGCAACTCGTCGCCACCAGACGGGCATGTCCTTGCGCTGCTTTGTGAATCGCGCGCAGGGGCAGCTTGCCCGCAGATGAAGAACCATGCTGCGACACTATATACCGCGACAAGAGAGGGGTCCACGGTTCCCAGATCCCGCGCGTGTACTCAAGCTGTTTACCCATTTTGCTGGAGTATTTTTGCCGGTCGACTCGGTGATCGCGTTGACCGCATAGCGTGCGAGGAGCCGCGAGGGAGGCGGGCGCGTATAAATCGGCTGGGCCATGCATATCCAGCACCGTTTGTTGCAAGAAAATCATGTGCCAATGCAGTGCAACAGTACCCAGACGCAACAAATGCTCGATGCGGCCCTGCTGGTGCATCTATGTTTCCCATCCCGACTGCCGCCGCGCACGCGCATGTCATTGTCGTGGTCGGTGCGCCTTTGGTGAAATGCAAAATGAATTTGCGCGCGCGCGCAGTAGAAGCCCGTGCCCTCGGACCTCGCCGACGAGTTCTTGAGCGACGTCGTCCGTGGAGTTTGGTGAGGTACGACGTCGGTCCAGCAACGCACGTAACATTGTTAGTTTCGGGCTGCGCAGTGCATGCGCGCGCGGTCTCGCGCTTGACAGCGAGATCTTCAGATGGACGCGTGTAGACGAAGACGAACAAAACGTTGCCGCGACGGGCCAGTGTTCGGCACCTGCCACAATCGCCCCCCCTAGACATTGCGCCAAGGAGGCATGCCCGAGACCACGCTCATGCTCGCAGAACCAGAGACTGCCGCCACTGAGCCCGCAATGATATTTACGTCGGGCACAAGCTTGCCCAATGTATTGTGAACGACCTGACGTAGTCTGGCACAGAACAGTTGAAGACGAGATATATATGGCAAAGGAAATGGAGCACGAAACTGCAAGAAGAAATTGAGAAGCGCGTCGAGCTCAACCTCCCCAGAATGTTCACGACGCGCCAAAAATTCACACTGCGCGTCTCCGTTCAATGGTTGGGGCCAAGTCCGTGCAACTGCTCGGTCCGCATGGGCCCCGCATGCAAGAGCTGGTATGCAACCAACATGTACCAAGACGTTAGCCCGGAGATCATCGCACAGCCCTGCTAATCGGCGCGCCCGGGGCGATGTCGATCGGGATCATGTGCAACCTGCGGGTGGACGTAAGCCGCGAAGGAGTGTCACCATGCTTCAATACACACCAAAGACATGCAACGCGCATCGATGATGAAAACATGACGATGTTCATGCCAAGCGAAGACCCGTCTGGGGTAGGCCACGGAAGGGCGATCATAACTGCAGAATGTTCCATGTATCCGCCACGCCAGAAGACACATTCAATGTGATTTTGAAAATGCTTACTGCACTTGCAATTGTAGACGTGCGACCACTCAGCTGCGCGTGCCGAATCACTGAACAGAGCTTCGCTAAAAAACTGCCCCATGAGTGCGCGAAGTAATGGCTGAAGACAACGAGTACATTAAGACAGCGAATAAAACTGGACTTGTAGAACTGCCATGGTACAGCTTAACTGAAACAGATGAAGCCTCCAAACAAGCCGAAATCTTCGATAGTCTGCGCGGGTTCAAATCTTCGCGAGATGCCGAATGTGTACTTTCAACAGCCTGCAATGAACTGGCTGAGCATGGCCGCAGACTTTTCCGACGTGGGACGGAGTAGCTTCGCATGCGCTGAGCGCGTCCTGCGATGGAAAGCGGTTGAGCCGAAAGCCTACGTCAAGGCAAACGCGCGCACATATTTAAATGCACGCGTGCGCACGTGGAACTACACAAGCACCAAGGCATTCACTCACCAGAATAACGACACGAGGGCAAGTCAGAGAAGGCCGGCTGTGTGGGGGAGGGGATCGGAGACGCCAGCGCTTCCTGCGAAGTCCGGCCCATTTGCATGTGCAGGTCGCTGCGGGGAATATTGCCCCCCCCCCCCCCCCGTCCTCCTCTTTCTCCCCGACGACGCGAAGCTGTCAGTGACATCTTCAACTGCCGCTGGACTTTGAAGTTGGAAGAATCACGCGTGCTCTTCAAGAGCAACGTTTAAAGCTTCGATGGCAGCGCGAGCGGCAGCTGCGATGCGACGGCCTGAGCGAGCGTTGGAAACCATGAGGTCAGACGAGCGAGGACGGGGCAAGGCAGCATCAGCACAGAAAAGATCTCGCAGAGGGAGAGAAGACGCCAGAAGGAAGGAGACAAGTAATGATTATGGATACGGTAAGCGATCGGCAATTCCTATTCCGCCGTCCTA